CCCTCGCACATGCGCCAGCCGCCATCCCGCCCCATGCCCCACCGCCCGCCGCCCGCCCGCCCGCCTTCTCTCTGGCCGCCCCAACTCTGCCCCCCCGCAGCTGACTGCGTACGGCAAGATCGACAACGCTGACGAGGCCGGCATGATGAGTGAGATCGCGGCGCGCGGCCCCATAACCTGCGGCATCTCCGCCCCCGACGACTTCGTGTTCAAGTACCACTCGGGCCGCCAGGGCGGCGTGTACGTCGACAACTCGGGTGCGGGGGCCGCGCCACAGCTGCTGGGGCCGGCCGGGTTCGCGGCGGCGCGGGGCGGAGTTTGGGAGGTGCAGTTCGGGCGACTTGCGGCGGCGGACGCGGCGCGGGGCGTGCGCGCTCCGCTCCTCGCGCGAGCCCGTCGCTGTGCGGTGGGGCCGAACGGCCGCCATGCAAGGAAGGCGGAGGCTTGCCAAGCAGTGGGGCTTGGGCGCTGCATCCTTTGTCCTATCCTCAGTGCATTCACCACCCGTGAAGTGGACCCCCGCCCTCCCAAATTCCTTCCGCCAGGCGACACCGAGATCGACCACGATGTTGAGGTGGTGGGGTGGGGCGTGGACGATCAGAGCGGCCTCAAGTACTGGCTGGTCCGCAACTCCTGGGGCACATACTGGTGGGGGGCAGGGGGGGGGGCGCATTAGGTGGTCCCAGGGGCGCCGGGCCGCGGCGGTGCGGGACTGGTTTTGTCTGCCAAACTGCGTGCGAGGCGCTGGGCGGCGTGTGCGCGCGGGGGACGGCACGTGCAAGTGTCACACGTTGGGCCCTCGGCTTGGACAGCGGGTGGAGGGTTGGGGGTCAGGGGGAATGGACAGCTCGTCGATGGGGCGCAAGGCCTGGAGAGCGGTGCTGGCCTGGGGACTCTAGGGGCTTACAAGCGTGCCGATTGGGCAAGGATGCCGGTTTGATGGGGGAAGAGGGGACTCCCCTGACCGGATGAGGGTCTGGAAAGATTGCTTGTCGTTAGATGGGCGAGCTTTGCCCCAGCCCAAGCCTGCTCTTCCCAGAAGACGCTCCGACACGTCCCCCCTGCTCGCCCCAACCTGGAGCATGCTCACGTGCAACCACACACACAGGCACACCCACACAGACACACACACAGACACACACACGCAAGCGCAATCTTGCACTTGTAATAACTGAACATGTGCCTTCGACCGCCCCCCGCCCCTCCCCAGGGGAGAGCTAGGCTTTTTCAAGGTGCAGCGCGGCGCGGGCGGCAACGGCGCGCTTCAGATCGAGTCGGGAGACTGCTGGTGCGCCCCCCCGCGCTCGCTCGGCCATGCTGGCCTGTTGCTGTCTGACGGGCCTCGAGCTGCCGCGGTCGGCCCAAGCTGCGCGCCGCCAGGCAGCTGGGTCTCTCTTGGCTTTCATGAGACCTTCAAACGTGCCCCCCCCCCC